AATAACAGTGCTGCTGACCATTTTCAATCCAAAGATTATGAGACCAGTGCTGAACTATTCGAAAAATCAATGCTGTATCTTACATATGATACAGATGACAAAATACTTCGAGCCAAGGGCTTTAGAGTATTGTGTCTTTGCTACCTGGGGCTCTCAATTTTGGATCGTGCTCAAGAATACATAGATCAATCTGAAAAGGTATCACTGATGACAACGAGAATTTTGAGTTCTTTTGGATACTTTCCTCAAATATTAACTCATACTATATTACTGCTGAATTTTCATCTCTGCAGCTCGAGCCCAACATTGTCTGCGCTTTTCTCAAGGTTTGTCTTCGCCTTTCTGTCTCTCTCCCACCCTTTATGATCTTTCAGTGTGTGGACCCATCTGTGTGCCCGATAGAGAGCTGCATACACACACTTACACATGTGAACTTTGATGGCAGTCGAAGGCAGACTTTAACGACAGAAGCTGCATACAATCAAAACCATATGCTTCTCACTAAGATAATTTTATCAGTTGGCAAAGCATGAAAATTTACTTTGTCATATTTATTAATGCAGTTCAAAATATTTCTGCAAAAGAATGACCATGATGGTGCTACTACTCAAATACAAGCAATGACTACCTGCCTTGACTTTCAGCCAGATTTTCTCTCCCTTTCAGCTCATGAGGCTCTTGCTTGCCACGCTCTTCCTGTTGCTGTTGCTTCTCTATCATGTATGCTTAACTTCTATGCTTCAGGAAAATCCATGCCGACCAAAGAAGTAGTAGTCCTGCGAACTTTGGTCACAGTCCTCAACAAGGGGCAAGGCAATGAGCAACATGCTCTCAAATTCTTGAAGCATGCTTGCAAACGAGCATCTGAGCTTGGTCCTGATTGCTTCTTTGGAGAAGATGAGGCTGGAAGACGGGAATGGAATTGGTTTGCAGTGACTTCATGGAACTTGGGTACAAAAGCAGGGCAAAATAAGAATTACGAATTATCTGCTGAATTCTTAAGACTAGCATCAGACTTTTACGCTAGAGCTGAAGGATCTGATCACGAAAACGATGTCATGGTTTGTAAATCTTTAGTACTTGCTGCATCAGCAATGATAGCTTCTGAATTTCAAAGAAAGACTGTAATGTCAGAAAATGAAGTCAAGCAAACTGTAGACTTGCTAGACAGAGCAGGGAAGGTATGGCATTGTTTAATTACTTCATAATATGGTGCTTGATGCACTTATCTTTTTGCAAAACAGAACAAGGTGTATCATACTACTACGTGTTTCCTTGTATGATATGTTTTATTATTGTATTCTGTCGGGCTTATCCGGCTCCCTTGTTGATGCAGATGCTGAAGTCATTTCCAGCTGGGACCTTTGTCAATGATGATCAAATCCACAGCTTTGAACCAGACCTTTTCTTCATATACACCTTCTGTGCTTATGACATACAAGCTAGACTAAATGACTTAGGATCACAGCTCTTTCTTGTGAAAAGTTTTGCCAGTTCAAAGGCTTGCAAACCCCAGTATCTCCTCCAGATAGGCCTCTGTGCATCTCAGGGAACTCGATCCAATCATGAAGTAGCGTCCTTTGCTCTTAATGAGTGCCTCTCAGCTTTCTTATCATCACCTTCTCCTGATTACCAAAATGTTGCTCTTGTTATCCGCAAACTTGTGGCCATAGCCAGCTTGCACAAAGGTGATACAGATGATGATGTTGTGTATAGCATGTATAAGAAAGCCTACCGAATAATGGTTGGTTTGAAGGAAGGTGAGTATCCCACTGAGGAAGGAAAATGGCTTGCCATGACCGCATGGAATCGAGCAGCGGTGCCAGTGAGGCTAGGTCAGATTGAATTAGGCAAAAAATGGATGGCTATTGGCTTAGAAATCGCCAAGCATGTTCCAGGAATGGAAACTTACAAGGCATGCATGGAAGATTTCATAAGTGGCTTGGAGAAAAATCCTTAACAAATGCATGAATCTCATTAATTTGGTTTCTTGTAGTTCCATGATGTACAGGAAAGGAGCCATACAAGTCCAGCAAATCTTATGTACGTTCTTGCTTTGGTAGTGCCCTAATAGGTTTACGGGAGAGTTTTAGTTACATCACTACTTTGGAATTTCTGATCCTTAACTGTATATAGATGGAAGTATAAATGGCATAAACTTTCTGTATTTTACTTATCCAATATAACCTTGTATAAGAATCTCGTTTTCCGTCCTCCGTTTAACTCTAATTGCTGTTTGCATTAAAGTCTCAGACTCAGCAAATATGATCAATACATAAAATGACACAAGTTACTGGGTCTCATAGCACAAATATATCTCCTGTATTTCAGGACATATCTGAGTCAATTCAAACGTCATTTTTTCCACTTCATTCACACACACTGCTGTGAAAATAAAAGATTCATGAGCAACTTTGCCGATTATTAGACTGGTTGAGATAGTAGTTTAATTGTGACTGAACTAAAATCAGCCCAACCATAATTAAGATAATATAATGTAATTAAAATATATAAAAATGTTCATATATACCTTAAAAAGAGTACTTGGTTTTAAATAAGATCTTAATCTTTTTGTCTTCTATCTTTTCCTGAAATATCCCTATTAATTGTAAAGGGTTTCTATCAAAGGATAATCCCAATCATACAATGCAGATGATTGAAGAAGATATTTTAGGGAGAGTGACATATATTTTTAACAAATAATCAATTTAACTAATTTTTTTAATATCTCTAAATTAGCTATTTAGCTTCTATATTAAGGATTGAAGGTAGTAATATTTAAATAAACAAAAAATTAGTCTATAAGTAAATGATATATATATATATATATATTAAGTGATAAAACACAATTCAATAAAGTGAAATTATTAAAAAAATAAATTTGATGAATAGTTATTTTTTTAATTCAAAATGATATCTTTTAGTAGAGGGATAAAATTCAGTTCGATTGATTCATACACAACTCTCAACTGTTAGAGAATCTTTTACTTCCTTTAAGCTTGACTTGAAAGCCTTTGTCCCACATATTTTTCCAGTTTTCCTTTTTATGAATCGACAAGGATCAGATCAAGATAAATAATTGAAATATAAATTTCTAGTTTGGTCGCTAAATTTCTCCCTATTTTCTTCACCATGTCTCAATCTGCTTCTCCTAATCTCTTACCCCCCAAACAGGCAAACTGCCAAGGGGGTAGTTCGTAATAGTTTCCTTGATACCATATATCTCTCCCTACGCACACACACACATACATATATATATATATATATATATTGGTTGATATATTGATACATCCAAACATGTGAGTTCATATGCAATCCTTACGATGCGTAATGGTTTCATGGGGTTTCATCTGGATGATAACAGATCATCGTACACACGACTCTGACACATTCTCCATATCAGATTGTGTCTGGCCGTGGTCTCCAGATTTTGCTGCAGAAAAGGCACGTAGAATGGAACCCATAAAATCAGACTTGGACGTACTCACGATCTCTTTCCCTTCACTTGTGTTCCCACACAAAGTTTTCAATATCATATGGCCCTGACGTCCGACGCTGCCACTTCCAATATCCAAAACTTCAACCCCATCAACAACATTCACCAACACCTTTGCTCGCTCGTGTATATATCTTCTCTCTGATCAATCCAGTTCCATATATGTATAAGTGCTGTGATTACAAAGAAAGCAGTCTTTGAGTTGTGTTGATTGTATCATTGTTGAAGTTCCATTTTCACTCGGACGATATGACCCGGCAAGTGGAGGCACACCACTTCTGCAGCCACCTGAGAGTAGATGAGGCAGTACCTGATCTATGACCGACCAATAGGCGAAGTTGATCGGAATCGAGTATGTGATATTGGAGAACCTGTTCTTAACACTGTCGGACAATGAGAAGAGGTTGTGGCACCCTCAATCACTAGTTCCGCTATGTGTATATCTATACTAATGATTGTGAATGTTCATGAAAGATTAGGTGGGTCTCCGTTGCTCTGAAGCTGATGATATGAACCACATATATGAGATGATCACTGGATTGGTGTATCCCAATTTTTTGATGAGGCCAAGTCCCCAGAATTCTTTATTGTCTCAGAGTAACAAAGCCATCAATGTCCAATATCAACTAGCGTTCGAAGGAGGAATGCGAGGAATCTATGTTGAGGGTTTTATCTCATCTTGCCTGAAACTGCTAATAAGTACTTAAAATAAGCATATGCAAACAAACCCAAAAGTAGTGAAATGGTATGTTCAAACAAATTGTCAATGGGTCATGACACTGTGGTCCTGGAATTATTGTTTTTTAATAATCAAAGATCATGTGAAAATAAACGTAAAAAAATTCCACACGATTCCTCATGTTGACCTATTCTATTCATGAGCAGGTCATATGACAAGCACTAAAAAGATTCTAATATTGTGGTGGAACAATAATACATCGCATCCTATGATTCCATTGAACAGGTTGAAGTACCGAAGCCATAAGGAGAAAAATGATCACTGTACAAAGAACATGACTCTCCTCTCCTCAAACGAGATCTTCCAAACTTGATTAATTCCGACTCACAGGCCGAATCTAAGCATAAAGTCCAATTTTATTTCATTTTATGAAACTTCACTGGGAGATGATCTGACAAAATGAACAAGAAATTCTGTATTACCCTCAGCACCTTTGAGAGGGGACTCAATCCACCACCCTTTACTGGAGAAACCAAACTTCTCTACTCCCTTTATAATCTTCTCAAGGACCTGCATTACCCCAAAAAAAAAAAAAAAAAAAAATTTCAATCACCTTCATATCCTCCAGTATTTGCAAGTCAATATGTATCATGCAATGGTTTGTGTTTTCTTATGACTATGAAAGTGGAAAGAAATGCATTATAAATAGGATGAAAAGAATTGTGTACTTGCATATCAGGTTCCGTGAACTTAGTCGTAATCTCCTTTTAACAAAATTTTTTTTTAAGACATCTAGAGATCAATCAGACGGCCAAAAAGGACATACCTCTTGGTGGACCGTGGGATCTTTCACTATCCCCCTTTTCCTACCTGCACAGAAGGTGATATTCCAAATTTAGAAATAGTGGCTAACATGTAAGCTCTATCTTTACAAGGGATTAAAACAACCATCATGGCATGAAGATTTTATAGGGAAAAACTAATTCTACTCAAATAAATGGGGGAAAAGAATTTCGAACTTAAACAACATCTTTGATTGACTTGTGCAATCACAATTGATCTTTACCCCTAAATGCGCCAACCCCAGGGGTGGCAGGCAAGCAACATCATATTATTTTCTTTTAATTGCCAGTCTACTCCAATGGAATCAACTGGCTTTACATCATAGAAGAGAATATTGACCTGACGAAATATTTGCATTTATAACATGAAGTTAGGTTTCATACTTGTGATCTGTGAGCTTCAAATTGAGGTTTAACCAACGTCACCAATGCTGCATCTTCCTTCATGACATTGACCACAGCAGGCATGACCTGTCAAATGAATAATTTAACCAACCATCGGCAGAACAAGGACCCTATATCTGCGGGAAGCTTAAGAGATAAGAGCAAAGCATGATTGTTTCTTACCCCATTCTTCTTTAATAACTTCTGATTATTTCTTTCTTCCTTTAAATAGTTTCTTGTCTAACTGTCTGACTTTGTGCCTTGTTCTTTTGAGTTACTAATTATTTTCCCCCTCAAACTTCCCCTAATTGTTCTGCACACACATTCTCTCTTGGTTCAAGTTATTATTTTACTTTAGCTTCATGATTCTTTGTTTGTTTTTTTTTTTTTTTGGGGCCAAACTTTACCTTCATAATTCATTTGAACACAGAACACCAACATGTAGGATGGAATTATATAACACTTGGTAAGTTCATGAGCTGGGTTTGCTTACTGGTTTAAAACTTGTAAATTGTGATGCACCTGGGATGTGAGGAAAACTATCTAATACAGGCATCATAAGACGGGCTGACAAAGTTTTGGATGATGCTTTAAGCATATCTTTCAAGTGTTTATGTCCCACCCACATATCCGAGCAATATTTTCTCTAACTTTTCAATATTTTTTAAACTTGTAATTATGTGCACCACATTGATGCTGCCACACTTCATGCAATGTGCTATGCACAGTTGCCACAAGAGCCCCTGCAGCAAGGGTGCCTTAAATGCCATCAACATCTATGGGGCAAAGATGTAGGGAGAGTACATTCTAGTTTCCCCAGCCAATGCTTTTCTGGCATAGTGGCACACGTGTGCCCTTGTTGGCATTAGATTGCGGTCTGATCCCGCCTGCTACCACTTGTCACCCACAAAAAAAAAAAAAAAAGAGCTCCACCCATTGAATGCAACTAGTGAACTCAACTAAATATGCAACCTAAGTACTTCACTACTTCCATTCTATTTGCAACATGATAAGACTATACAAGCCAACTTCCCAAACTAGAAAAAGTCCAAGCAAATTTGAAACAAATGATTTATAGTCAACGAATATATATATTTATAGCATTATTATGGCATTTAAACTCATTAAAATCCTTACCAAGAGAATAGAGATGAATGAAAGGTCTAAAGTCACCAAGTCAACTTTTTGTGGGAGTCCTGAAAGATATCTTAGATTTGTCCGTTCAATCACAGTAACTCGCTCATCTACACGAATTTTTTCAGCTACCTAAAAGAGGAAATAATCACCATGAACAAAGAATCGTAATATCAATTAATATGCGTCAAAGTAGTGGAAAGAAAATAATCACAGAAACTTGCTGAGCTAGACAATTTTTGTCATCACTGATTATAGATCGGTGACTATGTTAAACCTTTTTCAGGTGAAGCTATAAACCACTAAGATGGGAAACAGACGGAGAACACAAAAGCAAAACATTACCTGCCCATAACCTACGTCAACTCCATAAACAAAAGATGCACCATACTGAAGTAAGCAATCAGTAAATCCTCCAGTTGACAACCCAGAATCAAGAGCTACTTTACCCACAACATCAATACCAAGCTGCTCAATTGCAGCTTCTAACTTATGTCCAGCTCTGCATTGACATAGGTAAGCGAGAAAATATTAATTTCACCTAAAATTGGTGAAGAGATATCATCAGGTCATGTATCTATGGAGCTTGATGGATTCACCTACATACATATTTTGGCACTTCAGCCTTTATCTCCACAACAGCTTTGTCAGACACTGGGGTACCTGCTTTATTTATCACCTTCCCATCCACGTATACTTTGCCTAATCACAAATGTTGGCTGTGTCATTAATGATTTAATTGATTTATTGATTTCATCACAGTGACTAAGTATACAATTGTAGATGACAATCTACTACCAACCCTGGTTGCTAATAGCTATATTCACATAGATATTTAGCATGAGTAATAAGACTTGTTCAGAACGTTTACAGAAATAAATGGCTGCTCAACCTCAAGTTGCAAAGAAACTCAAACTGGCTGCTACTCCAGTTTGATACATTGTAAAGAAGCGGTAAATTCAAAAATTGTGCTTAAATAGGCACTGTAGCATTTAAAAGTCAAATGATTTAAACCTCAGATCATTCAGCAAACAAACGAATCTAAAGGCAGGGACATAGTTTCTGTTTCTGTGACTGAAAAAGAGAAAATAAGAGCCTTTATCCAATGTGAATCCAAACGACACCATGACTGTAAAAATATTGCAACATGCACAATAGTCCTTAAAGTGCTGTTTTACTTACATTCCCTTCTTTTTATTTCTCTAGGTAGCTAAAAGCCAATACAAGCTAAAGTTAACGATCCAAAGCTTTGAACAGCACGGAAAACTCTGGCATCAAGTTAGTTTTGAAGTTTTAATAATAACACCAGGATTAAAAAACAAAAGGTGACAGATAAATCTCATTCAGAAAACAATCCAATACAAGGGGAAAAAATGGGAATATACAGCCTTCCAAATAGAATCGTACCTTTAACCCTTTTATGGGTCCAGCCCATAACCTTTTTCGCTCTCTCATTAGTTCAAAAATCAAATTGGGTGCCCTTTTGAAAATACTCTGATAGTCTAAATGGTTAGAAAACCTATCATACAATCAGAATTTTCAAAGCTGGTCTATTAGTCGTCCTTATACTAACATATAATAGCAACATCTAGGATGCCTATAGGCAACTAAATGATATTGCCAATATCCCGATTAAGTGATGTAAAAAGCTGTACAAGTTTATTTTGATCGTTTCAATTGGCACCAGATGCCATACATAGCATGACACCTTAGAGAATCTCAACACAAGTGGCAGTCGTATAATTGCTGGAGAATAGCTTTGTCATGCATAATCAACAGAGAAGCATGAGTAACAGTTCAACTTGACATCTTTGTCCATAATATAGATGATAATCAATTAACTCAATGAGTTCCTTATAATTAGAATATTATAACAAAACCTCATAGAAATTTACTTTACTTTCTCGGAATTGCAAAAAAGGAAAAAAAAAAACTAAAATAAAAACTCTTTGCTATACTGACGGCTTGAATTCAAGTGACTACTTTATAGTGTAACTTGAGTGGACTAGTTAAGAGAAAATCTATATACCAATAAAGGGAAAAGGGGAAAAATTACCTTGTAAAATCCAGGACTGAATGAAATTTCGACTGCATTGCTGGAATCTTTCAAGACATATCTCATCCAGCCTCTTTTTCCTAAAAGTTTAACAGAGTGTACTGTCGTTCAAAAGCACAAATAGCTTGATACAAAGAATTTCAGGATTGCCATAATACTTCTTTGGGGTGGAATAAAATATTAATACAACAGAAAGAAAAGTAATATATATATCTATCTTATCATATAGAGTAAAAAAAAAAAAAACAAAATTCAATAATAGAATCATCAAAACAGAAAGACTTCTGGTCACATTGATTGCAAGTACTGCGCCGCACAATCCAAGGATCGCACATATCGTCAGCACTTCTTGATCCTCCAAAACCAAAAATTATGGTGTAAGCAAAAACAAAAGTCAGTTATTGCCCCGACTTGATTTTTAATTGACAAATATTCACCTTACTTCTCATGCTTCAAAGCCAATTGAAAAGTAAGCAAAAACAATAACCCACCACTTTATCCTACCCAAAAAAAAAAAAAGCATGAACATTATTCGATGCATCTTTGTCAATATAGTCTGGCATTCTAACAATACTTGTTCTCAGCATTAGAATTCCATTAAGAATGGAAGGTCACATGAGTGTGAACTTAGTGAACTGTGAAGAGTGAAAACTTGACATAGTCGATGGAGAAAGAAAAAGCTTACTTTTCACCGGTTGAAGCTTTTCTGATTTTGCAGCAGCATAGCTCCGGAAGGAACCAGGAATTTGAACAGTGACCCATCTCTCTAGATAAAATTCCAAGAATAACATCAAGAAGAAGATATTATTGAAGCCAAATATATCTTAGTACACACGTGAACTTGAAAATCTTTAGGCGTGAATTCCCTCAAACATGAATTCATAAGCAACGAACTTGAAACGCAGAAGAAAATAAAAGTATAGAAGAGAGCAAAAAGAGATTGAAGTGTCTGAGATTACCACGGTGCTTCAGGGTCTTAGATTGAGAAAAGAAAAGAAAGGTTCTGTCGTAACCCAACCCGCGGGTCATGGCAATGGGGAGCTTCAGAAATTGTAAGGCCATTTCTGGTTTCATTTTCTATTCACCTTCCGCTATAGCAGAACCACGAAGCCAGGACTGAGATACGCACCAATTTTGGATTAAAGAACAAGGCGAGGTCTGAAAATAATTGAAGAATGCTTTCATCAGAACCTAACAAGGAGTGGGCTCTAGTTGGGCCTTCCGCACAAGTCATCCAGTCAAATATTTGAAGAAAAGTTTCATTTGTTTAAAAAAAAAATTATAAAAAACGCATGTATAAAAAAAATTATAAAAGCACTGTCAACAAGAGTTTGTCCGATTAATCTATAAGTACATTTATAATGCTCATATAAAAATGTACGTATAAAAAAAATTATAAAAAAATATTAATAAAAGTTGGTCTGATTAATCTGTAAGTATACTTGTAAATACTCGTAAAACAGTTATAAATAACATGGAGAATTAATGCTTACATTTAATATTTTATAATGCCACAACAGCATTGCTTCTAATAAAATACATGCTTATAAAAATTTATAAAAATTGATTAATATAAAAAAAGTTATAAAAAATTGATAATCACAAAATTTTTTTGAATGAGTTTTAAGAATTAATGTTCAAATTATAATTCAAATGCCTGTTACTCTTATTTAAATAACATGGTATCGTTTGAACATTTAATCGTCGAACGAGAAGGGTTAAGATTTGGGTTTCATATTTCTCTTTGAATGACAGTTATTTAAGAACCCAATAATAAAAGAAATTAACGATAGGAAATTTTTCAAAACTAAACTTTTTTTTGGAAGATTAAAATTATTAAATTTTTGTAAAAATAGTATTATTTTACAGGATAATATTAAAAAATATGGATAATAAGTTGCTAAAAATACTAATGATAATTTAAATATTTATAATAATTCTAATTTTAATTTATTAATATCATTAAAAAAAAAATTTCTTTTTCTTTATGATTGCTTTTTCGTTTTGGCATCAATTTAACGACTGGTCCAATATGCCACTTCTCTGAGGAAAAAACACACGTGTACACGTACGTATAATGGGTCATGTGTGTGTATATATATGCTCACCCAATTAGAAATGAAAATAATACTAGTATAATAAAAATAATAAAAAGCAATGGATTTCGCGCGGGCGAGAACCAGGAAATTCCTATCGCTTCCCTTTTCATTTTTCAGATTACAATCAAACGTAACGGTTTTTCCACTACGCTCTCTTCTTCGCTCTCACTCTCCAACTACCACAAGTCCTTCTTGCTTCTGCTTCTCCATGGCAGTTCGAGCAATCCAACCTCAAACATCTCTCCTTTTCTCTTCTTCTCCAACAGCATCTTCATCAGTTCGACGCTTCCGTTTCCAATTGGTAGTTTCAAGCTCTTTCAGAAAGTCTCCCAAACTGAGGTGCAGATCGAGCAGCAACAATGGCGAGGAAGTATGTTTATTTAATGAACATCTCAAATTTTCCTCTTTAAAACTTTCAATCAATAGTTCGATTGTTCTGTTTTAGGATTATCTCCTGGATGCTCCGGTTTCGGTCGGAGATGGCTTCTCTTTCAGTGGAGGTACTTTTCAAATTCCATTTCGTGCTGCTAGGGATGAAAATGCGATGGCACCATTTGTTTCGTTTTGAAAAGTACATAAGAATAGTTTGCGATCTTCGGACAGGAAAATATTCAGACGAGCCGAGTCCAAGTGATGAATGGTTTAAGCAAGGGAGAATGGTAAGCATTATAAATCACGTCAGCATAAGCTTAATACTTCGGAAGTTATTAAAAAGTGTTTAAGACGATGCATATTGTTGCCCTATTCCCCGGGGGGGGGGGGGGAGAAGTTATCAAGACATAAAAACTCCCAAGATTCACTGTGGAGGGCTTTTTTTTTCCCGCCTAAAAGAATTAAAATTTTTTAAGGTGAAAGCCCATTCAATTCTGGGCGCTGGTGAAAAGGCTAAAGATCCAATCTTTGGGCTCACAATGGGGACTGGTTCTCAAGCCACTGGTGATCTCTTCAGGTAAAACACTTATCGCGTGTCTGTGGGGACAATAATCTTGTTTATTCATGCTGAAGAAAATGGAAAGAACAGAATCGGAAAACCAGATGCTGATTTGGTTTTTGGAGTCAGAACCATCATGCATTTGTATAGAATGCATAAATATGTAAAGACAAAACAGATTTTACTCAAATTTTTAGGACCTAAGGCCAGAAGAAATAAAATATTTCCATAAATTCCATGGCACTTACCAGTTACTGACTGAATCATATTTTGTCCAAACGATTTTCTGTAATAGATGGTTTTGTGTTGAAAGCGGAGATGCTGATAACCCTTCAGTGATATTAGTCCACGGTTTCCCTTCACAGGTGAGTTGTAATTGTCAACTATGATAGGAGCACCTCTCATAGTATGATGTCACGTAGACTTTTCGCAGTTGCTCACATCAATCTAACTCATATGTCAAATTTAACGCCAAGTTGTATGATAAAGTTTCATATTGTTGATTCCTTGCTAGTTTCCATTACATAATGTTCTTTAAAGCTTTCAGCATGGAACCACATTATTAAGCTGTTATGTTTTACTTCTAGCCACCTTCTTTGCTTGGAGCAAGAACAAGACATAGACTCATCAGTTCCCTACGTGCTAAAACTTAAATTTTATATAAGAATGGGATCATGAGCCTAAAACTTCTGACGAAATGATCTTAGAAGCTTTTAAATCTTGCAAAGAACCCTCAACCTAAATCCTTAAGTTGCCAGGTGAAGTTATCAGGCATGGATTTTATTTCCCAAACTTTCTTAGATGCGCAAATATTAATATGCATACCTGGAGTTACTCTGTCCCAGATTATTTATATTGATGACAAATACTTGTAGTGGCAATTTGATGCTGCTGACAGGCATATTCTTATCGCAAAGTTCTTCCCGTGCTCACTAAGGACTATCATGCCATGGCTTTTGATTGGCTGGGTAAGATTCCAATTTTTTTGTCAGAAATGTTATCAGAATTACTTTGTTTCTGTGTTGGAGATAGTTATGGAAACTTATGTCCAATGCTTTCCATCGCTTCATTCCTCGTCTATTGGGTTTCCAGTTGAAAAAATTGTCAAACCAATAGTTTTAGAAGCCGAAAAATGTGTTAGGGGTTCCTATTGTCATATGAGGCGAGAAGATGACAGAGAAAGTAAAACCAAGGAGAATGATAAAGAATTACTAAAGACCCCAACAGACTATGAGACAAGACATTAAGCAGTCTAAGGAGTAGCTGTTGTCTGTTGAAATGTGCAGCAAAGAAAGAGCTCTTACTATTGGTGGGAGAATGAGTCTTGGTACACCAATTTGGCTTTGACTAGAGAAGAAAGAAGAAGCATTTTACAGAAATTGGGCTGGCAAGTATACCTTTTAAGCCTTGAAGACCCCTCTTTCCGAATCCTGTTGTTTCACTTGCTGGAAATTTGCCCTAATTGTGAATCCCTTCACTGAGCATATCTATTGCCTTGAACTACTACCATCCCCAACGATTAATAAGACCAGGTAGGTTGTGGAGGTAATGAGTCCTGGCTTGCCAAACTCAGTCACTTCTGGCATTTGAACCAGTTACGTCTATTACACATATGTGTTCTTCGGGATGTTTTCCTCTCAAAATGGGGTCGTCCAGATGCTCAGAGACATTGGTTGTACAACCTATTTGGTGCATTTTCTCATAAAAAATAAAAGGTACAACTTGGAGAAATGATGGAACAATCTGAGTCTGAACTATGTAAAGGAATGGAGCACTATTATTGATACTAGTGAGGGGATGAAGGATTTGAGGAAAGCAACTTTGGTCTTTTTTTCAATGTTTCTTTTGCCAGTTGGCATAGAGGTCATGCCTTATTTAAACTTTGTCCTTCCATTCTACTGATTATTCCCCATGAATAAGATGTTTGTGACTAGTGAGTATGGGAATGTACTTGGTGGTTTGTTGAATATGAACAAGAGGGTTTGTCCAAACCCAGAAGGCCTTGACTTAAAACAATAAAACAAATAATATGTCAAGAGATTCATTATTTTTGTCTGAGATGCATTGGTCATGTGTAGTCGTATTCTCATATGTTTCTTCTCACAGCCACATCACGGGTTAACAAATGCACGGTGAAAGGATCTGTAGTATGACTTAAATATGAAATCCTATAGACGCGTTATACCTGAAAGTTCTTGTTTTTTCCTTTGGGATAAGCATATGCAATCTCTTTTAGAATATTGAGGGTTGAAATAATGCTCATCATGATTAGCCTTTGGCTCTTCACTGTTAGTAGTATATCATTGCTGCACTTTGTTCTTTTCGAGTTACGAATTGAGTGAAAATGTCATGAAAAGCTGTCATTCTGAGGTTTTTGTCTCCAAAAAAATTGCACATGCTTGACAAGTGATTTCCCTTGATCTTTTAATAGCTTTTACTATGAATTGTTCAACTGTTTCTATGAAGGTTTGTTTTTTTCTTTTGGCCAGAACTGTTGTTTCCCTTAATTTGTTCTCCTTTTTCAGGATTTGGATTTTCTGATAAGCCTCAACCTGGATATGGTTTTGACTACACTCTAGATGGTAAATGCTGTGGACTTAACAATATTCAATACTTGTATTTATTTTCTTTCTCGGGGACATTCCTTGGTTTGACAATTCAATGGCAAAAGAGCAACTGTACTCCTTACTCCTTGCAGAATATGTATCATCTTTGGCGTCACTTGTCAATGAACTAGCTGTTGGTAAAGTATCACTTGTAGTTCAGGTAAATTTGCGTTCATTGGTAAGAATTTTGGATTTGTTAATTTAAACTACCTGTTATCTGAATTCAATGGGAAATCCTTCAGCTGTCTGTATTCGCAGGGCTACTTTTCACCAGCAGTAGTTAAGTATGCGAGCTTGCACCAGGAAAAGCTCAACAACTTGATACTCATTAATCCTCCTGTACGTACATTCCTTTTGTTCTTGCAAAAAGTCTTCCTGAGTGTTATGCTACAACTCCTTTTATTTGTTGTATGATGTTTCGAAATTGACTT